GCCGTAGACTCGGATTTCAGTCTATATTACAACTACTGTCAGTGTTGAGCAGTAGCGTAGCGAGGGGGGACGGGGGGGGGGGGACGGGGGGGGGGACTGATGTCCCCGGGCGCCGACCTTAGGGGGCGCCAAAATGGGTTGGAAAAATAAATTGAAAGGTTGAGGGGGATGCAAATCGAAAGTTTGAGGGGGGGGGGGGGGGGGGGTGCAAATCAAAATCTCGAGGGGGGGTGCAAATCGAAAAGTTTTTCCCCGGGCGCCGGGAAGGGTCGCTACGCCTCTGGTGTTGAGTCTGCCAACACCTGCTTCGTAAACTAAATCACATTTTAAGCCTTAACTGATTCATTTTAATTATCTGAATTTAAAAAAAAAATCGCGAATTGCACACATGCAGTTTTGTAAACATGAACTCCAATTATTAGCATGCAAATACTGAAAGCGGTCAAATTGAATGCCGGGTTAGCTGGATCGAATAAAGCTTTATATATTAGAGATATATACTAAACGTAGTTTCTGTCAACTTTTGGATCCATCAATCTTTGGTGGTGGCATACCACACCCACCCTCAAAAACGAAATAACAAAATATAATAAATAAACAGCCCTATAAACAAACAAGACTGACGCTCTGTGTTATGTACATTTTTACCCCAGTTTTTTAAACGGAATTAAAAACCTAAATAAACAAGTTTTAATTTTTTCACTTTTGTAAATATTTTGTTTACTGTCCGTTATGTATGTTTGTGTATACAATGTCGTTAATTATTTGTTTTCAAATACTGAAAACAATTTAAAAAAAAAACAGACATGTATTGTATTTGAGTATAAATATGTTTAGCTTTGATTTCGCATAACTTGACTTTGTGTTACATTCTTCGGAGGTAAAAGTTAATGTGTATGCACTCAAAATTTTATTAAAATTTAAAAGGTTACTTTTTAAAATGTCGACGTATTATTATTATTAGAAATATATGTACACTAAAAACTGAAAAACATAAATATAAACAAGAAACAAGTTAATTAAAAAGTCTAGTGACAATTTTAGCGCAATTTCCTTATGTTATCTAAAAATAGCTCTGTCGTAGCGTAAATCAAGAGCAGGGTTAGTAAAACCATTGGTTAGTTATTAAAACGTTTTTTATTAAAAAAAAATTTCAGTATTTTATATGTTTTATTTACAATAGAGTTACATGACTAAAAACCATTGCGCGCCTAGCTACTGAACGTGATGACGAAGCCATAGAACGTGATGGTGCAGCTATTGAACGTGATGACGCGTGTGGTGTGGTTGGAAAAAATGCCTACTAATTCGGTCCAAATTTTAATTAATTCAAAAAAAATTTTGTGACCGAACGAAAGGATATTTTTGAAAACTTTCTTCGGCAATATTGTTCTAAATTATGGCAGGAATCGATTGGTACATGTTTCAAGTCGCTAAGTGGTCTGGTTGCCGAGATATGTACCAGGCTTTTTCCAGGAAATCCATGAAAGAAACCCGGAATTTTTATAGCCTATGTTCATCCTCGTAACTTGCTTAACAAAATTGCTTTTGGAACTAGTCATCGATATTGCTTCGTTGAGGAGGAGATACGACTTAAAGCTGCGGACACACATCCATCCATCCATCCATTCATACATTCATACATCCAGAAATGACGGGTTAATAAACGCAATTCTCCAGAATGGAAATTGCGCTAAAAAATAACACCATTTATATCTTAAAATATAATAGCCGAATGTTGGTCGCTTAAAGAAATGTACATGCACGTACACGTACACGTACACGTACACGTACACGTACACGTACACGTACACGTACACGTACACGTACACGTACACGTACACGTACACGTACACGTACACGTACACGTACACGTACACGTACTTATTCAAATACATACACATACAGATTACCCCGAAGAAAATAACAATCAAACATATGTAGGCTTTAATGATTTTTTTCTCAGACATGTAACTTACAGTGTCAGTTTCCCTTGCCATGTTCGCTTTAGTAGTACCGTTTTCATCATTGCTTTACAATAGGTAATACTTCTTTCTTACATTTAGCCTACTTACATTTATTTAAGATGGCTTACTTTTCTATAGATCTAATAAAAAACGTCTTACTACAATTACAATTTTATTTATAAACCCAAAAATCTAAATGTGTAATTCAATGGTGATTTAAGTTATTGTTTTTTGGTTGCGGGCGTTTGGGATTATACTTAGAGCTGAAATAAATTTGGGATTTAAGAAAAATAATATAATAAACATTATAAGCAGGCAGCTAAAATGATTTGTTGAGTATAATACACATTTATAATAAAACATTCTTCCCTCTCAAAACAATGCCATAATTAGTGGATCGTGATAGATGTTTGTTTTAGCACAGTGGCTTTTTATATATATAATAATGATTCAGAATATAATTGATATTTTAGTAGGTCTTGTAATAATAATTATTAAGAAAGTCATTCTTTTTTTAAATGGCAGAGTAGACGAATATAATCTCCCCACCCCACCCTCCCATGTCTTTTTAAAGAAGAGCAATAAGACATGTAATAATTTGACCGTCTGCTTATCTTTCACGCTACCGTTTATGACTTGTGTTTTTTACTTTCTCGTATATACGAAGTATAGAGAAAGTCTTGTAATCGTGCAAAAAAGCGAGATTTTTACAAATCTAGACGTTTTACACCTCACTGATACGGAAAAACATAATTTTGCAATCTTGTCCGTATGTCCGTGTGTCTGTGTGTGTGTGTGTGTCTGTCTGTCTGTGTGTAAACACGATAACTTGAGTACCGTTACAGCTAGGTTGATGACATTTCATATATAAGTATGTTATCAAAATTGTAGATCCGTTTCAACTTTTGAGCGATTTCCGAAAGATAAATAAAATTTCACAAGTAAGTAAAAGATCTAATTCTCTACCTTCTGTCAAATTTTGAGTAGTTTCCGTTGACCAGAAGTACTAATTTACGCTATTTTCGATTTCTCAAAAAACGCATGTAAATTTATAAAGTACTATTAATATTGCGAACTATTATGCACATTTTGTTATGCAGTTCGCTTGGTGCGCAATTCTTTTTCTATGAGATTCTATACTATTTTTAAAAGTTTAAGTAATTAAAAATCATGTCTATATTCCAAGTTTTATAAGTATATTCGAAAAAGTTTAGGGGAGATCACTCCCAGTTTATTTTTTTTTGTTGAATCACGACTGTTGATTTTTTTTAAACGAACATCAAGTTCAGTAAAATAAATATTTTTGAAAACAAAATATATTTTGTGTTTGGGTTGTGGGACTTTAAGGATGGAAATAATTGTACATAAAAGTTCCTGGTAACTTATTTTTTTAACCGATAAAATAGTGTGGAAGTGTGGTGTCAAAAGGCATGCCAAGCGAAAATGCTTTGATTTCTTTGCATGAGCTTGTTAGTTTTATTATTTTTATGTGATTGTATATTTTAAGCGTTTTTTCGTTTTAATAAGTATAATAAATAATTAGAAAATATATGAAATTGTAATGTACGTTGTTGATAATTATGCATTATGTTTTCAGTTATGTCGCAAAAATACACATCCCAAACACTGGATATAAAATATAATATTTTATTCTAAGCAATGAAAGAGTGTTGTAAATGCATATTATACATCTTAATGTTGCAAGCGAAGGAAGAAGAAAAGAAAACTTGTTATGGACACTTTAACTGACACCCCAGTCAAAAAATCGTAACCTACCCACGTAACTTACATAGGTAACATTCCTTCATGACCTTGTTGTACGTGAACCTATAGCACAACCTACCCAAGTAACTTACCTAGGTAACATTCCTTCCATACCTTGTTGTACGTGAACCTATAGCACAACCTACCCAAGTAACTTACCTAGGTAACATTCCTTCATGACCTTGTTGTACATGAACCCATAGCATAACACACCCAGGTAACCTACCCAGGTAACCTACCCAATGAACTTACCCAGGTAACATTCCTTCCATACCTTGTCGTACATGAACCCATAACACAACACACCCAGATAACCTACCCAGGTAACATTCCTTCAAAACCTTGTCGTACATGAACCCATAACACAACACACGCAGGTAACCTACCCATGTAACATTCCTTCAAAACCTTGTCGTACATGAACCCATAACACAACACACGCAGGTAACCTACCCAGGTAACATTCCTTCAAGACGTTGTTGTACATGAACCCATAAAACAACACACGCAGGTAACCTACCCAGGTAACATTCCTTCCATACCTTATCGTACATGAACCCATAACACAACACACGCAGGTAACCTACCCAGGTAACATTCCTTCCATACCTTATCGTACATGAACCCATAACACAACACACCCAGGTAACCTACCCAGGTAACATTCCTTCCATACCTTGTTGTACATGAACCCATAAAACAACACACGCAGGTAACCTACCCAGGTAACATTCCTTCCATACCTTATCGTACATGAACCCATAACACAACACACGCAGGTAACCTACCCAGGTAACATTCCTTCCATACCTTATCGTACATGAACCCATAACACAACACACCCAGGTAACCTACCCAGGTAACATTCCTTCAAGACGTTGTTGTACATGAACCCATAAAACAACTTATCCAGGTAACATTCCTTCAAGATCGTTGTTGTACATGAACCCATAACACAACTTACCCAGGTAACCTACCCAGGTAACCACCCAAGTAAACAAACAAATCATGGTCCTTAACAGATAGGTTTTTCTTAGAGGCCAGTGCAGGGCCTCGCCGGGCCGCCTAGTAATTGCATAAAAGTTAAAGAAAATCAATTGACTTTTTACAACCATGCACATTGGTATTTTATTTGTTGGTACAAATTAAAGCGCACCGTTCAGCACCATAGCGTAAATATCAATAAAAGGAAGCTGTTTCCCTAGCGCATTGATTTCTTCGCTGTCTTGATTAGGCCTTTCTTTGCAAACTAGATCTATATGTACATCTAGATCTAGATCGAGATCGACATTCATATTTCATTAATTGCAAAAACATTTAAATTTTTTAAGATGGCAAAGTTAAAGAGGACAACGATTACAAACATTACCTTTGTGTCTGAGGTAGAAGTAACACGGGCATGTAAGATAGATGTCTTAAAATATTTGGTTGATAACAAATCACATGACACGTATCATTGGGATCAGTTACCTAATGAGATTACATTAAAAGTATTCTCTTACCTAGACACAATCGAATTGTTAAGGATGGCAACTGTGTGCACGTCTTGGAGGGATTTGATCCACACTACGCCCAGTTTATGGCGAAACATTCACCTGGTGTTATCCTGTAATTGGAAATCACAGAAAAACAAAAAAACTTTTTTGTGCGCGCAACAATTTGGAATGAACTTCCGGAAATTATCTGTCTCGTGCTCTCACGATCATAAAACTGGCATTTGCAGATTTTTGGCCATCGACTTCCGGAAACTTTTACTCAGCCTGCATCAAACGAGTCTAACGTCGATAAAAATAACTGACCTGCAGCTTCAAGGCGCGTTGATGAGTACTGTAAAAAACATTACACAGTCTCTAACTCGTATTTTATCCAGGTCTGACAGACTACAGTCCTTTAAAATGTCGTCCGCGCAGTTTACATTTGAAGAAGGCATCACGGTTCTGGACACTGTCTTTTCTGTGTCCAGGGGAACTTTAGAGACTTTCTACATCGATATTTTTTTTCGAGAGCCCTTGCTGGGTTACCTTTGGAATGAACAGGACAAACTGACCAATGGCATCCTTTCTCTCACCCGCTTGACAAAACTAGGGATCGACTACCGACATTTGACTGATGATTTTTTGACGGCTCTGTCTAGATCTCATGCCGGGCAGCTGAAGATACTAAAAATTGTGGCGCAACATTTGCATAATGATTTTTATAATTATCAAGTTAAGCTGGCGACGAACTCTTGGTTGACTTTGGTAAGCATACGTTAGACACGCAGAGTTTCTTCCAGGCATCTCTTCGGGTGGGGGCTCCCCCGAAACATTTCCACCAACCACCCCCCCCCCCCCCGAACGAAATGAAATTTATATAATTTATATAGAAAATATATACTTTTAACAGTGCCCGCCCCCCCCCCCCCCGAAGAAAGTCTACCGCCCCCCCCCCTAAAATTTCAAGTGCCCCCCCGGAGAAACAAGTCTGGAAGAAACACTGTAGACACGCCTATGTAATTTGATAGTCTCTTAACCTTAAATGTGTCGGTAAATCATAACACTGACCGTATTTTTTAATCCTAATTCATAGATGGTCTAAGTAATGAAATTAAAAATAACCAAGCTAAGTAAATTACTGCAATAGTATTCATTGTTAGGAGAGTATATGTTATAAGAGGCGTAGCGAGGGCGGGGCGGGGGTGCCGACCACACCGGGTAACACCATTTAGGGGGGGGGGTGACACCAATACAACAAAATAGCAAAATGCACAATAGAAAAATTTATTTTTGCCAGTTCCATTAATGATTAATTAAAGTTAAATAGTCTTTTAAGCACAAATTCACAATTATTACAAGAGGGTGCGGTGGCACCATGTCCTAAACTTGCTAACTTTATAACTATAAAGAAAACATTACTACATCCAAGACTTTAGATAAACATCGTTATTATAAAGTCTGCAGCGATTAAAGCTTATACACATACATGTACGCGTATGTGGCATATATTTAAATGAGAGGCCAACACACACAATATATATATATATATATATATATATATATATATATATATATATATATATATATATATATATATATATATAAATAAATAAATAAATATATATATATATATATATATATATAGATATATATATAAATTTTATGTATATATACATATATTATTTATCTGGGGTGTGACACCACGGAGTGCCGCACCGGGTGACACCCAACCTAGCGACGCCACTGTATGTTATGTGGATGACCATAGAGTACTGTACGCTGCACACAAAAAAATCAAATGTTTTATTTTTTTTACAATCTGACAATACTAGACAGGATCTTGTCCTGAGCTGAAATTGGCGTTCATGATAGACGGATATACCTTAGCACTTATCGGTTCCTTGATGAAGATATTGGATCAGGTTATGCCCATCTACAAGATAAAGCTGATGCTTGAGTTGGGATATTATGACGATTTAAATAGCTCACGCTTCAAGAATGTGCTCAATGAAATCACAGCTAACTTCAGGTGGGCCAGAGACTGGACACTTTTTAAAAAAATCTAAATGGGTCTATGCTTGTATGGGTGTTTATATCTGTGTGTGTATATGAATGTATGTGTTTATGTGTGGATGTTTATGAGTGTATATTTTTTTCTGTGTGACTATTTTATTATATATGTACCTGTATTTATCTGTGTCTGTATTTATATGATTGACTGTGTCTATTTGTGTGTGACTGTGTGGTCAAATGGTACTGCGTTTAACTTTAAGCCCATAGGTCTAGGTAACGAATCTCCGGACGTGGAACTGCAGTACTTCCTTAAAGCGGCTGGCCACATCATCTCTGCAAATGCCGAGGTCTAAAAAGGAATCTTTACTGTGTCAATCTGTGTGAGTGCGTCGATGTTTGCCTGTGTGTCTGCGTTCGTATGAATATGTTTCGTGGGTATCTGTGTATAATTGTGTGAATGTGTATGTATGTGTGTGAGTATGTGAGTGTTTATGCCTGTAACTGTTTTGGGATGCAGTTTAGAGTAAGAGCTTAACCAAGACATGGTTGAACTGTTGACTTATGTAAGCCGAGCTCCGGGAAACCACTCAACTATACTAAAATTTGTCTACAGAAATACTCTGGTCAAGCTTGAAATAGAACATTCGCGCAGAACCGGCAAAATTGATGCAGCTTTTCTAGATCTTGTCCGAAATTGTCAACGTCTGACGTACATAAAGGTAAGTTATATGTAAGATCACGATACCCGGTAGTCACGTGTTCGAACCCTCGAGAAGATGATGCCCGTAAGCTGGGGTCAGCAAGCCATCTAGAAAACAACAAAACCAAACAGGATTGATGTCCCCTTGGGCGATAGGATTCCCAACTCTGGTTTCCTTTCTGCAGCTCCTGCTACCCTGCTAATTCCAAGCTGTACAGGTAACGTCCTATCCCTTGGGTCCATCAGCTGTGTGGAGATAGGGGGTGAGATACATGGGCAACATCTGGCTCTTCTCAACTTACTGCCCAGGCTTTGTGCTTGTATTTCCAAAGGGCAATCATCCAATGGTCTGGTAGACTATGGTACCTTATTATTACTATATAGGAAAAGGAAAAGCATTGAGAATAAGCTCATGCCTGACATTGTGAGGCTGAAAATCTGCACCCAAGGCAGAGACTGTAGGTGTTCAAACGATTGCAATGATCTTGAATCAACGACTGTAGGATGCACTTTTGACTACATGGTTCTAACATCAGCATAGCTGTACTCATCATCATACTGAATTCTTGAAATCAGTGCTTGAGAGAGTGAGAGAGAGAGGGAGAGAGATATGCGCAGGAAAGAGAGAGAGGGGAGGGATAAAGAAACAGATAACTAAGAAGTGAGAGAAAGTGTTAAAAATGCTGATTTGTGTTTACATGCTATAGCAGCATTTAATGTTAGATGATAACGAAGAATATATATATATATATATATATATATATATATATATATATATATATATATATATATATATATATATATATATATATATATATATATATATATATATATAATATACAAGTTAAAGAATGAAAATTGTTTTACATCACTTTGATTATACATTTTTTAAATCATGAATTTAGACCATGAGCACTTTAGAAATTTAACTCTGGACGCATGGAAGTATTATTTTTCCTATATTTCTTTGTAACCCTCGATTTTTACAAACATTTTACCAGCAAACAAACAGAATTGAACTTTATATTAAATATATATATATATATATATATATATATATATATATATATATATATATATATATATATATATATATATATATATATATATATATATATATATATATATATATATATATATATGTGTGTGTGTGTATGTGTGTGTGTGTGTGTAAAGTACATAGTAACCAGTGAGTATCGATTGAATAAATACAACCTCATGTTTGATTAATCATACCTCCCCCCCCCCCCCCCTTCCCTACCCCATATTTACCATACCACAGGCCACCGCCTACTTCTCTGACCCGGAGACTGAGAGGATTGCCCTGGAGCTGGTACAAGCCAGAAGACGCCAGCAAGAGATGAGCGAGTCCCAGGAATTGCCCAACAAGCGGGCGAAACTAACCCGGGCCGACGGTCCAGGTTCTGATCCCGCGTAGGCCACAGCACCGCTAAACCGTCCTTAGAACCAGAACTGACGAGGGTACGCTTAGCGTCCGGACAGGTGAACGATGGTTTCTGACTCACCTAAAGACACACCTGACACACTTTTAAGGGGATTGTTACAGATAATGACATCTTTTCTACATTACTAAAAATACATATTTAAAAGAAAAAAAATCAAAACAAAAATAAAACAATCACTGTTTTAACAAATAGTAAAGTTTTAGTTTTTTCTTTAAACTAAATACATACTAAAGTTCATAAACTTACGTGAGGGAAAGTAGCATACGATATGTTGTTTGCATGCTGTTAAAATAATATGGGCTGTTGAGCGAACTCAGAAATAACAATCAAGCGAACTCCGACGAACTGAATTAAGTTTTAATTGATTTCCAGTAAACATAAATGATATAGGCCTACACTCTTTTTCTGTTTTCTTACAAGTCAAAAACCAGAGCGTCATTTAGGTTAGCTAGACAAAAGTTCATAATAGTATATAGTTAGTACATTTTATTCTCTCATAATTTGAACGATTTCTGGTAAACGGATGTGGTACTCTATTACTGATTGGCCAGTCAGAACATAACATTAAAATGAAATTTAAGAAATTAAAAAAATGTTCTTTGAGCTAGTTTTTTAATTAGCTTTGCTACAAAGTGGGACGGAGTGGTCTAGCGGTAGAGAGCTGGACTGCTAGCCCGGTAGTGTCGAGTTCGATTCCGGGTTCAAGTCAGTAGAGCGTCCCTGAGTCCACCCAACTCTGATGGGTACCTAACTCACGTTAGGGAAAGTAAAGGCGGCTGGGCATAGTGCTGACCACATTATCTCTTCATATGCCGAGGTCACAGAAACAAGTGAACTCTACTTCACTTGCCCCATAGACCGTCAGGTTTGAAAGGGAAACTTTACTTTTGCTACAAACCTGTGTTCTAAATGGCTACAGGACATTACCCCCCCCCCCCCAACCCCGTCAATTACCGCCAAACATTTCTATTTATCCCCCCCCCCCGGAGCAATTACCCCCCACGCCCCGGAGAATTACCCCCCCCCCCCACCACCCCCTCAAGTTAGAATCCTAACACTAACCTAGCTATAGTCATAGCCCTAACCCTTACTCTAACTCTTACCCCAACCCTAACCCTAGCTGTATCTTAAGCTATGTCCGGGGAGTAATGTCCTAATGATCGGGGGGGATTGACATGGGGTAATTACTCCGGGGGTTAATGTCGGATGGGGAGGGGGGGAATGTCCGGGGAATAATTCACGGGGGGGGGGGGGATAATGCCCTGTTCCCGTTCTAGATATGTCTCTTAAACAAACCGCTTGTCAATTATTTTCTGTAATATGTAACATTTTATAATGCTTTTGGTTTTAAAATGTTTCTACATTTCACAGACAAGTGTACAGTAATATCACGTTACACATTTGTTCAGTAAATTATTTTAATTATTATTTAGTAAATTAGTTGAACATTTATAAATTACGTCTTTTATTAAAGACAATTAAGTTCAATGCATTCCCGCATTTCACAGAAAACTCTACAATAATATCACATTACACATTGCTTAGTACACTATTTTAATTATTATTTAATAAATTAGTTGAACATTTATAAATTACGTCTATTTATTAAAGACAATTTATATCAATGCATGTAGGTATATTAAAAATTTTAGTTTCTAACTGTTAAAATCGTCAGTGTTTTTATAAAGTTATATAAAATAGGATGGCTGTTAATAACTATTCGACTATTTTTTTATAAGTAAGTGCAGGTTCTTACAATACATAGGAGGTTTTATAAGATTCAAACAGGCAGAAGCCATATTGTGAAAAGTGTGTATAAAGGTTGTGACATGTAGGTTACATCATAGTTTGCTTCAGTGTGCGTGCATCTACAAAACTTGTCGAACAATGATTATGCTCAAGTTCATAATAGGTTCCTTGCAAAATTCATGAAGTGATCTTTTGAAGTTCCACAAAACGTTCATGTCAGTTTGCTTGTGTTTCACATGAAATAAATATTTTATTTAGTTCAGTATGTCTCAAGAGCAGTATACCACATCACGTGGACAATGAAAGCGCTGGATATTTTAAAATTTGATGAAAACAAAACGCGATTTGAGCCACGCTGTTGTTGTGAGCTAATGTTCAAAAAGAGTTGTGAAGAAATGGTGTTTTTATATTTAGCAAATGAAAACTAACAGAGAGACAGCCGGACAGCCGGATGGATGAACGGACGGATGAACGGACGGATGAACGGACGGATGAACGGACGGATGAACGGACGGATTAACGGATGGATGAACGGACGGATGAACGGACGGATGAACGGACGGATGAACGGACGGATGAACGGACGGATGAACGGACGGATGAATGGACGGATGAACGGACGAATAAACGGACGGATGAACGGAAGGATGAACGGACGGATGAATGGACGGATGAACTGACGGATGAACGGACGGATGAACGGAAGGATGAACGGACGGATGAACGGAAGGATGAACGGACGGACAGGCGGATACACCACTTTTCCTTCGTGCTGTTTTTATATCTTCAACCCTTAGTTTACATCTGCTTGTATCCTACGCGTTTATTTTAAAGCGATATCGACAAATGCAAAATAATCAGAGAAGTAACTGTAAAAATGCGAAGTTAATCTAATTAACCCAGTTACCTCCCTTGAATTGCGATAAATTCAATCGTAATGAGACATGTTACTCTCTTGTTTAAAAAGAAAGAACTTTAAACGGGACATTTATTCACAGAAACTTGCAGGAGTATGTACTCAGAACAAAATCAAAATAATACACATGTAATGTAATTATTGTCAAATATTTTTATTTTGATAGTCTTGTACTTCTTTTGGTAATCCGAAATATTTTAAAAGTTTACAAAACAAAACATGAACACACAATGTAATACCTATATGTGAAATTGTGTCCACTTATCTGACGTGGTACTCAAGTTAACGGCTTTTAAAAAGCCGTAAAAAGTGTAGGTACCACTCCCGGTTAGGATAAATTGTTCAAAATTGTTTTGGAAACTTTATATTTCTTATAACATTTATTTATACAATTTAGCCAGCATAACTGAAATGATGCAGACACAGGCACACACAGACCCACGCATATGTACACACACATACACACACACACACACAAAATACACAGAGACTAAATTGCTAAACTTCTTTTTTTTCGACAAAATCTCGATTTCGATTTTTTTTGTGTGACTAAAATATTTCCCTCTGGCTAGTCGATAAAGTAAAAATACGAACTTTCTTGTTTCATGTATCGTATTTGTATGTAAAGGATAATAAATATTGGATTAAATCAATATTGGGCCGGTGATATTAATCAGAGATTTTTAGATAAATAAAACAATCAATGTAGAAGAAAGTATTGACGTAGACAGCGAATTAAAAAAAAAAAACAAATTTAGAAACAAATAAAGTAGCCCAGTCCTAACAGTATTTTACTCAGTGTTTCTTCCAGACTTTATACTCCGGTGGGGGGGGGGGGGGGGGGCGGTAGACTTTCTTCGGGGGGGGGGGCTACGCGAGATGTTTGAAAGAAACTCTGATTTTACTCATACAATTAATACAATTAGTGGCTAACCATTACATTTACCAGATAAATCAATAGAATACAAATGTCAAGTATATAGTTTTACTCTACCTGCTGCTAGGACCCAACATTGTTTAATTTATTTTAATATTTGTCTCTAACCCCACTACTAAAGATTTCAAATTTATTAGTTAAAATGGCTTATGAAAGTTTTGTAATATTTTTTTTCATTAATGACGACACATACTCAACTGTTATTTGTCAAAGCAATATGATGCAATGATCTTTTTGTCTAGTTTACAATAAAGATGGCTTCAATGCAAATATAGCTTGTTCCAACTCTACATAATAATAATACATATCCTACCCATCCGCCGCCTGACAGCATACCACTAGTCTTTACTAACGGGGTTAAAAATGTAACATTGCGTTCAAGAAGGGGAGAGGGTGGTATTGAAACAACGATGCTCTTTAATATGTTCTTTAATTTATTTGCCATACTTACATTTTCATATATGTAATATCCATTATTATTTGTTAAAGCAATATGATGCAATGATCTTTTTGTCTAATTGACAATAAAGATGGCTTCAATGCAAATATAGCTTGTTCCAACTCTATATAATCGCACAGTCATAAAGACAACCTAATAGTACATCGAACATTTAAAAGAAACACCAAAGCTGGCCTAACGCTTCTACTTTACGATCGATTTCACTATTATTTGTCTTCACACATATTATGTTTCAATACAATTTAAATAAGTTAAGCGCAATGTCTGTGGTGGTATTTGTACATCGGTGCGGATTACCTACTTCTACGCGATGTATTTTATAATTTAGTTGAGTGTTGATATTTTTTTTAAAGTGTATTTGCGATTGCCCAATAGTACACAAGAATACACTGGCAAGGATTAAACTACAAAACACGATTTCACCTTCCAACACTAAAAAAGACACAAGAAGGAACGGATAGCAATAGTCTATTACGGTTGCACTGGTATACAAAATAATCAGGGCACATCGCCCGATAATTCGAGGCTTATGTAAGAGGTAACCGTTAACAGAGAAATTTCGATTAGTTATGTCGGCGTGGTCAAATCGGTAAAGCTCATGGTTGCTAAACCGAAAAGTCTCGAGTTCGAACCCTCGGGCAGATGAGGCTCGTTAGCTTGGGGACAGCCACTCTTCTAGGAGAGACAACTCCAAAATCAAACAACTACTGCCTTGTAGTTTGTTCTTGGTTGGACAAGGGCTTTGGAAGCAAATCCAAAAAGAAAAGCAGGCTGAAATCGGAGTCAATGCCTAAATGGCTCATAACCAGTTGACATAACCAATATCCTTAATTGTGTTGGAGGCGTGGTCGAGTTGGCTAAAGCTCATGGTTGATAAATTCGAAAAAGTCTCGAGTTCGAACCCTGTGGCATATAAGGCTCGATTCCTTCCAACACTAAAAATTAAGAACGAAGAAGAAGAAAGAAGACAATTGGTTATGACCCCAACCCAATACGTATCAAGTTTTAATGAAGCGCGATGCTAATGAATGGGTTCCTTTCTGCACAGTTTTATATGATGCCAGAATTAATAATTGTAATCAACGCAATCGGTGAATTAAT